AAGGTACAGGAAGCTGGAAATGCTGAACTGGATTGATGTTAATTGTCTTGGTGCCTTTGCCATGAGATTATTAAAATGTCATCAGCTGTACAAACAGTGCTCTTTCTCTATTTCATCATTTTATAATCAATCTTAAAGCAACAGGATTTCCTCTTATCTTTCTCCTCTGTATGCTGCAGATAACGTGTGACTATAGCAACCTGATCCATGGATTAGGATTTGTTTTTACGCAATGCCTCCAGATTGTTACTTGTGTGGCCTTCTTTATTTCATTTGCATAGAACACACTGTTACCATCACGGGCTAGGATCAATAATAAACCTTAATGTGGTGATTTAAGCAGTATTTTCAGTTGCTTAGCACCGGATTTTGCATATAGAGAACATACTTCATCAAGGTTGCTTTAATGAGATCTGACCCCAATACAATTGCATATGTTTGGAATATGTGTAAGCTAGAGGAAGGGAGAAGAACTCTTTAAAATTGGCAATGTAAAAATAAAACAGAGTAGTTCTAAATTAAGTGCAGCATCAGAAAAACTGATGCTTTTAATAAATGATTACCATTTTAATACTCAAATATTTATAATTGTCCTTGGTAAATGACATTCAAACCTGTTAGCATACTGTGATTAAAATGCGTTGCGTTGTACAATGGATAGTGTTAATCTTTAAGAAAGATTGATTCCCCTGTGCCAGCCAAGATATGGAATCAATCTAGTAATCTATTTGTCTTTTTTTATCTGTGAGAAGACTGCAATGTGCAAAAAAGGTCTCAGTTTTGTCGCTCGTCTGTTGGGTCGCAGAATGATCAGGAAGGAATAATAAAACTGTGGAAAAAGAACATCTTAATATCTCAATCAGTTCACTTGCTCTGCAGCCACTGCACTCTCACTTCCTCCACCTCTTTGCCGTACCAGTCATGGAGTTTGGAGAAGCAGCCAGTGCCAGGGGAGACGGGGCTTTCCAGAGAGGCTCCTCGTCTCCTGCGTGGCACCGGTGGAGCCCTCACCCCATCGGCCCCTGGACCACTGTTACTCCCAGAGTCTGAGCAGGCCTCCCAGGCCGCACAGGAGGACGCTTCCTCAGCAAAGCCGTTAGCCAATGAGACAGCTGGTTTACTCCACGCAACTCCGTTCTCCTTGGGACAATCAGACATGAGCTGCACCTCATCCGGGAAGCTCCTCTGGGCAGAATAGTTGACTGCCATGGGAGGGGCCCCTGATGATGAGGATAAGGAGGATGTAGATGATGAAGATGAAGAAGAGGATGCACCTGATCTGGACCGTGAAACTTGGTGTCTCCTGGAGGGCTTGGACCTGCCCTGCAGGCCTCCAGCCCCGACGCAGTCTCCTCCTGCTGCCTCCTGGATCTCCTCCAACTGCCTCTCCAGCTCCTTCACCACCAGCCTCATGTAGTCAAAGCTGGCCCTCGACAGCGCTTTCACCCACGACTCCATGCCTGCTTGGTTGTCAGAAGCCATCTTGTACACCCGGGCTTTGGCACAGTCAAACTTGACAGCAAAGGCGAACTCCTCGGCTGACTCGCACAGCTCCACGGTGCATCCTTCAAGGACGATGACACCGATGGGCTCTCGGCTCTCGCGCTCCTCAAAGTAGAAGAGCATGTTTCCTTTCAGGACAAACCAGCGCCGGTGATACGCTGTGTTACGCTCACCCTTTTTGAACAGGAAGCCTGTCTTGTCTGGCGGTGAGTCACAGGTGGCGTAGTGCGCCACGCTGCGTTCGTTCAGCTTCATCCCTCCTACTTTTCCTCAGCTGGTTGTTTATACACCTTGGAACATTGTAAATGAAAGCCAAATGGATTACTCAATATTCAGACAATATTCAAGTTGTTTTTCACATACAAGGAATTTGCTATGGTGTATTGGTCAGAGACAAGAAACATTAATATAAAGTAGAACACTTTTTTAAAAGTCAATTCAATTACACAATGTAACTGTATAAAAAGAAAGAGCTAGGCAGAATGTGCAAGTATATATTCAAGGAGATATGCACATGTTTGCAGAGAAGCATAGCAATGTACAGAGATAATAGTCCAGAAAGATGTGCATTAAAACGCATTAACTACACTAAAGTAATGTAGTTCAAGGATGCCACAAGACTCTGTGGCTTTTCCTTCCAGCAGGTTAGCATTTCAGATATGCAACACTAAGCTGTCTGTGGCTCTTTCCTGCTGTAACGCTGCAAATTTCCCCTCTGTGGGACTAATAAAGGTATTCTGATTCTGATTCAGTTTTGTGTGTTAATCAGTGTTTACTCAAAGAAGAACCTGCTTACTCTTTGCCCTCAGTGCTGCTGGCTGTTTACTTTCAGTTTATTGACATGGTAATATCATATTAAAGGATGTGAGTTTTTTTATGGTCAGTAGGCGGAACAGTTTATTTGCTAGTCTCTTGTTAAAAAAAAAAAGAGGTCAGCACAAAGGGTAAGGTACAAAACAAAAAGGGTTCGACTCCTGGTAACTTTAGAGGGGAAGATGTTTGCAGAGGTTCAACCTACATTCTCTGGTCTCCTCTTTCTGAGTCCTCCTGCCAGCCTTCATGGCAGTGCAAACACCTTTTTTTGTGTTTACCCGTCACACTAAAGGTGCATAGACATAACCTCTGGCATGGTTCTGCTACAGTAAAACCATATTGTAGTATAAAAAACGACTCAATGCCCTGATATAGGCCTAACATGTGTTGTCCGCTGTGTAATCATATGTTCAACTGTAAACTAGGACTCAGCCTTCCCTCTTTGTAAACAACAACTAATCCAACTAATCTGTTAACAAGTTATAGCACTGGATAATGGTGTTACTTCTTCTATCACCTTATATAGCAATGCGTTTGTGTTGTAGCTACTGCATTTTATGTTAATTTAGTTTTTACTTACGTGTTTATCTCATAGCCACCACTGTCCTCTTGTCACATCTGAAGCTCATTACTTAAAATGTCTCCATCTTCTTTTGGGTTTTTCTGTCCCTCCAAATAAAAAGAAAGATATGTTACACACACTTACTCCAAAACTGCTGGTATTATCAATCAGATCGTAGTGTCTCTGTTTTGTACAAGAGCTTGTGGCAAATAAGCCAAGTTTGTCTCAGACATGAGAGGCTAACATGTCACACATTAGCAGTTTTTTCCACCTCTGCTAGCAACAATAGTTTGGACGAATGATTCAGACTGCTGGCTGTTTCTGGGAATGGTCACAAGCTTTTGACACATCAGCACTTTGCGGAAATGTATCTCGGGATACATCCAACATATTCAGTAGTACAACACTTTACATGAACACTGGCTGAAATAAAGAAAGTCTATCTCTGTTTTAACTAGCTTAACGCATTAGGCGTCTTTCGTGAATACAAATGAGCATCTGGCGTCAGCATTTTCGACTGAGCACTAGCTAGCACCTACAGTTCTGCACTGGCAGTTAGTCAGACCCACATGTATGGCAGTATTGTGGTAAATAACTATTAATTACCTGGAGATAAAGACGCCACCGCCTGTCATATAGATAAAATCACTGTCGTTTGTTTTTCCTTTATCTCTCTTCGTACTTTCTTTCCTTTTTCTTCCCTGTAACGTGACGGACTAAAGCCGCATTGTTGTGTACAGAGCGACCAGCACGACTGGGCGGGGACGTCATTACAGCTCTCCTGCGGATGGAACGTTCTCCATCCGGATGAGCTGTGCGTTAAAACAAACGCACCCTGTGTTTGCCCTTGGATTGGGTGCGTTTGGACAATATTGCTACAGGCTGATTGTAGCTGGCTCCATGTATGGAGACGAGCCACCTGCAAGATTTTAGCTTGGGCCCCTTAACATACAGCCAATTCCAATCCCCAATTCTGTCACACGTAAACGGCAACGCCTTTTTTTCTTTTTAGTTGTATTGTTTAAAAAAAGCAACATCACTCGGCTTGTCTGATGTGGAGAGAAAAAGGAGAGCCTGATCATGCATCACCAGAAGGTGCTGTAGGTGGCCCAGGATTTGCACGAGTTGGATTAAAATGTAACAAAAGTGCATCACAATGAGAGAAGAGGAGTATTAAAGTCCCACTATATTAATTAAAAGCTACTGATGGTGAACCGCAGCCAATCATAGCATCTCATTGTAGCCGACAGCATTCTAAACACACACTGCAAGAGTAATTACACCTAGCATCCATGCACAAAACATGTAATAAATGAGCAGTTCATGCATGATGCATGCTGCTATGCATACTAATTGATGAAAATGTGAAGGCTTACAAAAGGAGATGGAAAAGCATTTGAATGAACTGTTACAAGCAGGGTTAATGTAGGTTAATTAGACTATATTCAATAGAAAATACTTATTTTTCAAGGACCCAACTACTGACTGACTTAACTCAGTGTAGCTACAGGAGATGTACCATCAATTTGTTTTCCAAACTATGCCCATTGGTTTATAGACCTGTCACTGGAGTTAGTTCAGAATATGATGAACATTACAATACATTCATTTTATTGTGAATATAATAATTAGTAGCCTATGTTTTAACTGCTAACATTGACAATAATGCCAATGATTATTGCCAAGTTGTTAAAAACATAGTTTTTTTTTTTTCAGCAACATTTTTTTTTCATTTACATATCCTGAGAGCTGCCCGGTAAAACCTTCCTTTACCATTTTAACTTTTTTGAGTTCGTTGCCATCTCACCCAAGCATACGAAAACAGTGAGCTAAATATGTACTATTCCCATGCAAATTGTCTATGCCCATTTTGTGACATTCCAGTATTTGCCATCCTGTGACCCTGTCCTACATTTTAAGGCATGGAGATTTGGCCTTGGCCCGTTTTATTACTGCGTACGATCATGATGAGTCACTGTGAATTTGTTGGAATGTCTTCTGGAGACAGCTGATGGCCTTTAGCATCGCCAGCCTGCTATCTCATCACACTAATCTTCAATTAACTGATGCAGCTGCTGGTGCCATTTCATGAAGGATATTCCTCTTTCTGAAAGGTTTCATCACACTGTGTTTTGGTAGCTTGGATTAAGGGTGATGATCTTGAAGCCGGTTTAATTTCTTCTATTTAACTCACAGTTCACAAAGACTTGACACTGTGAAGATGCTTTTTCAAGACCACAGCTAATGCTAAAGACATAAAATCAACCATTTCTGCACTTGAATCATTCGGTCCATAAAATACACAAACACACTGACATTTAGTGTAAAGTGTTTACTTCTCACAGGGTATTTTCCAACATTTTGTGAAAACACGACAAAATATCACCGAAAGCTTTTTTCAGACAGTCCCGTTATCCTTAAAATTCATTGATCCAGAGTGATTCATTCATGAATTCAGTCTCTGTGTCCAGTGAGAACAAAGAGGTGGAGTTTAGAAGTGTGATGCCTCCCGTCTGAATATGAAGAGAGGCTGTGTTGTTGCTCTCCAGTGTACCTTTCCAAATGTTATTGAACAAAAATTGCCTGTCTCTTATTGTCTGTTTCTTTATATTCAGTTTGTCCTGATGGCACACTCTATAATCTCTGGTTTATAAAGTGCTATAAAAATCAAATGTATTATTGTCAGTATTTGATTGGTCGAAGCAAAGTAGACATTTGACAGTTTTAAAGTGGCTGCAGCGACTTCATATGAGGAAATGAGGGAGAGTGCTGCTTAACTCTGTATTATAGAGAGCAGAGCAACCTGCATGTTGGAGCAGCCAACAGACAGCCTCTCCACAGAAATGCATAGAAAAACACAGTGATGGCAGGACAAAGTGTAGAGTCAGTCATGCATTTATTCAGCCCCAGTTCTACCGTGTGATAAAGCACAACTAGGTATTTGGTTTACGCCTTTAATCTTCTCTACCTTACATGTTCTTCTCGCACTACAGCCCATTCTGTCAAGTTTCTTAAAGTGATATGACTGAACCACTTTTTTTCATCCATACAAACAACATCCTGTTGCTATATATAAATAACTCATCATGCTATACCCTGCTGAAAAAACGCTCCTTGAGGGAATGTCAGCTTTCGTCAAAATACCTCTCAGTCATCCCACACAATATAAAAAATATCATCTCTTTAAATGCTAAAGTCTCTGTAGAAAAATGCCTGAAATATATAGATATCAAACATGTTTATGTGTATTTGTATACAAAGAAAATGTGATGCAAATTATTACTTCTTCAACGATCTTTTAAAGCTGTAACTATGGCACTAACGTATTTCTGCAAAACGTATCTTACATGGCACCAGAGCACATAGATTTTGATGTACGGTGAACATGTCTGGACACAGATCAGCGACCACATCTCCATTTATTTGAAAACTTTCAAAAATACACTATGACTGACCATGGCGTACATTGACCAAATGTCATTTTTCTCCTTATCTGCAGTCGAGAGACTCACTCGCCGGCAAACAATTACAATTCTTAAAAGGCAAATTCCACTGCTTCAGTGGAGCTATTGATTTCTATCTGAGTATGCACAGAGCAAAAGTCTGTGTAGACATCAATCAAATACTGGCCGACATCATTTCACCCCATCTTGTACCTCTTCATCTTAACCTGCCTCTTTACTTTCGTGACAGGGTTTCAGCAGCTTTCTAATCTTTATTACAGCTATTTCTATTTAACAAAAATATCTCCTCTATAAATTCATCTACACTCACACTTACTGATGCCCAGTTTCACAGTTATATCGCCCTGACACTGTTATGCCTGGAGGTTGTTCAGTGCTCTTTAAGTCTATAAGTGTCTAAATGATCTCCTGGTGATTGAAATCCGTTAGCGATTTATAAAAAATAAATAAAAGTAGATGCTTGGCGTCAGCTCTGGCTCCTCGTGCCTCGGACAACCAGGGTAGATCAGTGTATGGAACAAGCATCCCTTCCACTCGTATCTCAAGTATCTCAATGGGCCCTGGAGAGGAAAAAGAGGAATCACATTAGTGAGAGTTTCTAACTGCAAATGAGGAGAGACTTTTGACAGAACAGTCACATCACCAACAGTCACTTTTCACAGCAAAATGCAAATATACCAAGGTATCATTGCCAATACACAAGCACCCAGACACACACTCACACAAATCGTCAAAGTTAAAAGGTTTGGCATATTTTCCTCCATGGATTAAAAAGCCTTCCCTTTTGTGAAAAGCTTTGTGTCTCTCCGTAAATAGCTGCCATTTCCCCAGCATTTCTTAGTCAAGTCTGCAGTGGTTCAATGGGCAGAGAACCCCATCTGGATCCTTGAGGCTCTTCTGATCCTGTTGTTGAGATATTATGTACCGTAAGGTGCAGCTGATGCTTCTAACTTTTAACAATCTCCAAAGCAGCGTGAAATCCTCACATTAACTTTGTTCATCCCCAAAGCTTTGTAAATTGCACTAAGCCATCTCAAGCCCTTTGACTCTCTCACACACATGGCTGCATGTGCTATTGCATGCCTTTTGCACTCTCATGCACATTTAAATGCACAAGCCTCTCTTTAACATTAAAATGTATGCATATGATTGTGCACACACATTTTGACAAGGACACACAAACATGCCCACTCACTTTCCCACATCATGACTTTGTCTGAGTCACCGAAAAAGAAGCACCAAGACAAGCCTCTATCCATGCCCAAAGTGCACCAGATTTACTTTCTAATGTTTGGCAATGTAGGTCACTTTCTGAACCTGGCATATTGTATTACAGAGGTAAAGCCTCTGGCACGCACCACTATAATTATTTAGCTTTCATTTGTTTAATGTTTTCCTCATAACATTTTCATTTTCAATGATCATAATGAACTGTTCTCCATTGAGGGAAACACAAATCAAAGTAAATGATGCATGCAGAAAGGGATAAGCACATAGACAAGTGTGTCTCATGGCAGACTATCACCACTAACAATCAGATGGAGAAACAACAGCTAATTAATATTCACTGGCAAAATATGTGTCTTACTCTGACACATTTGTGGAGTTTTCTTGCACACTGTAGTGTGGACATGCAAGGTTGGAAAAAAGGATAAAGACAATAAAGTTAGAGGAATAACTAAAAGCAAACATGTGACTATTATAATGAGACATCAGAGTAACAGGTTTACATTTACAAATATAACTGTAACAATCCAACCATACGAGATGCAGCAGGACGTGGGGTTGAAATGAGCAAACACCTTTAAATGGAGGATCTACTGCACATTATTATTCATTAACAGAAACATAACAACCAGGAGAAGATTTTCTTTTCTTTTTCTCACGAAGGCTGTTCGTAATATAAGGTTAGGAAATGAAGGATGGAGAGAGTGCTGCAGCTCTAGAAAGAAAAAGTCAGTGAACTCTTTGATTAAAAATTGAAATGTTGCCAAAGGTGTTGCTGTACGAAGTGCCAGATATGCTATGCTAATAGATATTTCACCCACATAATAGAGCTACAAGTGCGCAAAGAGATTATGCATACAGCTGCTGCCTGAGTGGGAGTAAAGCATCATCCAAGGGGAGAGGAAGAAAGAATTAAAGAAAGAGTGAGAGAGAGCAAGTCAAGGAGAGAGAGAGAGAGATGTGGGCTATGAACTGGAGCTGTAGGGAGTAGGTCAGTGCAATTGAGTCAGTCCTGACTCATGATGGAGGCGGTGGAGATCCACCTCCTCCCTGCCCATTACAGTACAACTTCATCCTCAAGCCTTGAGCACTGGAGCTCAGATAGCCATTACAAAAACAGTGAAAAACTCCTACATGCATGGTCAGAGGAGCATTGGTTCCTGTGGTACAGGAACAATCTGATAACAAGTCATGGAGACACAGTGAATGATGAATACAAACATCAGGTGCCCATTTTGGAACAAGAGGTGGTCAGCCGGCACAACGCGTCATAATAGTTTCTCCCTCGTTCCGCTGTGAGGGCCATTAAATCATGGACATAATATGAGGTTTGAACTGATTTATGAGAAAATAATTACCTTTATATGTTATCTACAATAGAATGTAACAGCATCGGGGAGATTAAAAAGCAGGATATGTCTTGAAATTTTATATTGTCTAAATGCAACAATAGGCTTGAAATTGTGGATAGAATTGAGTTACTAGATTTTTGGTACTGATTGGAATGTACCCTAATTCCCTAGCATCAAATTAAGTCGGATTACAGAAAGCCAGCAGTGTTTGGTCCATCTGGTCATAATTTGTCAACTCTCTTTTATTCAGGCAACGTTTTTGTTAACCTGCTTGTGTTTGAGCAATATTTAAAACTTGAGAATTCTACACCACAGCGCATGCAACATAACCAATACCATATTGATTTCAGCTGGTTGACCTTTGAAGTACGTCATACTCTCCCCCACTCCCCTGTTCCCTGTCTGCTTCTTCACTGTAAACTGCCCAATACGGGCGAGCATGCCTACTAAATACGGGGGGGGGGAAATTGTATCAAGAGGAAAAATCTTTTTAAACAATACCAGCTGAAAACCACTACAATGTCCATCAATGTAAATGATCAAAGGTGTCAAAATGTTTAAGGCACTCTTAACTATTGAGCTGCAACATAAATAAATAATTAATTTAACCTTATATTTCCTAACACAGTTCAAACCCTTAAATCTAACGTCCAGAGAGAAAAGACAGACACGCCCAGGGATAAGAAATGAGGTGCAGAACTCCGTTTTCCAGTGTATTCTGTAAACGATACAATGCCAAGGCCACTGTGTCAATTGAATAGTACATTAGCTACTAAGTCAGTGCTACAGTAGCAAAAGCCCTTCTGAGCTGCATGTATTGATAATACATGAGGTTTCTGTCATAACCAACTGTAAACCCCTCACACACCATTACACGCTGTACTCTTTAGTCAACTGGACATCATTATCAATGCGCAGATCACTAAATTGGTACAAATTCATCTATACCGCTAAGCTTGGACTGCTGCCCCTCTACATATCCACTTACACATCACACAAACAGTACAGCTATAGACTACGATCTCAAAATTACATCACTCTGTCCGTCCCCTCAGTATGCACAGAGCTTGGGAAGAAAGCCTATGATACTCTGCCCCCTCGACCTGGAACACACTTCAACAGGAACTTAAGCTGACCAGTTTGATACCCATCAAAGATTTTAAACTAATTTTTAAAAAAGCTGGAGAAATCATCTGTGGGTGTTTGCACCTGCTATATCTGACTACTGTATATGGATTTCAATGACTACTTTTTACGATGTTTCATTTTAGTGTTGCCTCTGTGTTTAGTATCCTGTCTGTCTGTAACTTTGTGTGGTAGTGTTACCACTGAACAGGTCTCTCTTGAAAATGAGACCTTGTGTCTCAATGAGATTTTACACCTGTATAGATAAAGGCTAAAAAAAAGAAATAAAAAATACTGGCTGCACTCCACTCTATAGCATGCTGAGTGACTCATTCAGATCCATTCACACAAGGTAAATACAGCGGTTGTTCTACACTCAGAGCAATCATCTTGAGGACAAACATGCATCCACATACAATACAACCAAAACAGCATCAGCATCAGCCTTCACCGCAGCACCGTTATTGTCTTTTACAGTCTCCCTCTCAGTCTCCCTCTCTGCCTCCCCCCATCACACATGCTCTCTTCCCTCTCTCTGCCACACTTTCTCTCCACCTCTGTGTTCTCACCCACCACACTCTCTTACTTTTTTTTATCATGGCTGAATATCCACTGATCCCTAATCCGGACGGTAATTTTAGATTTGAAGGTCAACGAGGTCGTGCGTTAGATTTACTCATAAATGGGTGCTTTTTCATACCCTGACTTCATCAGTCTTAGCTTTTAGGCTTCCGACCTCCACAACTTTGAACACACACACACACACACACACACACACACACACACACACACACACACACACACACTAAATATTCTTTTTATATAATGTCATGTCCTCTAAACACACACAATCCTCACACTTCTTTACCTTTTCTCACTTACTTTAGTTAGCGTTCTCTCTTTCCCTTTTCTTTCTGTCCGTTTATCATTCAATATAAGTGCAGCTGCAGCGGTTCAGAGCTTTGTTGAGGGTAATGTTGGTACAAAGGCTGTCTGAGCAGTACTGTTATCTCCTGTAGTCTAATCCGGCTAATTAAGGGCATCGCTAGAAGGAAAGTGCTACTATTCTCATCCATCTCCAGGGCATGCTGTCTCCCAAGTCTGCCAAACTGACATGCACAGACACACACACACACACACACACACACACACACACACACACACACACACACACACACACACACACACACACACACACACACACACACACACACTGCACAGAAGCACTTAAAGGCTGCTTGATACTCAATTAAAAACTGATTTTAAACTAGGGGTGTGACAATACTGTATACCAGAATTGCTTATCACCATTTCAAATATTACATTTTAACATTTTCTAAACAGACAAATACGATTATCGTGCCGGCAGATGTTTAGCTTTGTGGCCTTTTTGTTTATCAGTTCATCTGGGAGCCTTTTTCACTACCTATTAGTGTAATTGTTCTTTTATTTTGCTTTTACCCAGTCATGGTAACATACTCTCTCTCCACCTCTCCACACTTGTATTTTGAATGCAATACATTTGTCAAAATAGAGACAAACTGCACAATAAACAAGGCTTCATTAAACATGCTGCATAATAAAGGCTAATAAAGTGGAGAAAACAAAATGCTTGTATACACGATGACAGCGATATTACTGCTGATTTATATTACCTTGCGGGAATAAAGTAATAAAGAAGTAAAGTCCAGCATGTCTGTGCCTGAATCTCTCCACGCAAGAGCAGAATCTATTAGCTTTCTGCTCACGTTGTCTCACAAATATCACACAGTGATAGTGGGGGACTGGACAAATGGGAGATGAGTTGCTAAACATGAAATGATATTAGACAATGATAAGTAAGATTCTTTAAATTACAATTCGCTATAAAGCTATCAGTAGACTAGACACAAATCAAAAAGGCAGTTCTGTCGTCTAACACTTCTTGCTCAGCCACCATGCCACTCTCATGTCATTTACTCCCACAGCTGACACAGCAATATGGGACAAGAGGCGATGAAGGAAGTATGAACTCACTTTCTATTCCTCAGTTTTCAGCCATTACTGTTCATCTTGGGAGATTTGTGTGAAGATGACACTAATTCTCTGCAACAACTTAGATGTGGGTGCCTTCTGTATTGGCCTAGTGTGAGGAGACTGACTTTACATGTGAATGTGCAGGTGCTAGTGTATGAGATGATATTTAAGGCTTTTGATTAAATGTAAGGGAAGCAGGTTTTCTTGTTTCATCCTGAAGGACCTTAATTAATCAGAGCCCATGTCGGAAATAACTTCCTGAGTTTGAGACTCGTTAGTAACAAAAGCTCTTAGAAAGACATAGATACAATTTAATGTTAGTGTTGTCAGCAGTCTTCTGTGAAATGTTGAAGGTCCCAGTGCATTATTTGCAGAAGCTCACTGCCTATAAACATCCCCCGTTGCACACACATACTGTACACATACATGAATATACAGGACATAAACAAATAACATGTATGCAGTCAGACTCACAGATATGCGTCAATGCACACATGCAATTTCTCTCTTTCTTCCTCCCTTTCTCTTCCTGACAAACACACTAATACATGCACAAACACTCACCGCTTCTTCCTGATCTCTCTGTGTACGTCTCAGCGCTCATGGCGGTGCCTTTCTCTTTCTTCCACTCACTTTATATCCACGCTTTTCCCCACTCCTGCTCTCTCTGTTTGTATAATCCAATGTTCAATTGGAGTACAAAGCGCTCATAAAGTAGAAAAAACGATGAAAGTAAACAGAACAAGGGGGTTCGGCGTCAAACCGTGGTGGTGGTTGATTTGCGTAGGATTGTTTTCTGGGGCTTGTGGGAAGGCATGTGAGGAGGCACACAAGGTAGAGGTGTGTTTGCTGTTGGCGGGAAACTGTGGCTGACCGAGAGGCCGCCATTTTCCAACATTAGTTCATGAGGAAGAGCATGAGGAGTGGAGTACGAAGAGCAAAAATGCACTGGGCTGAGCCTCATGTCGTTCAGCTCGGCCTGTAAATGTAGTTCTGTGTCGTCTACATCATATTGGAGGTCGCAGTCCGGGCAGTAGCCATGGTACTGGACCTTCTCATTGAAACGTACACGCTCCCTCTCACGAGACTCCCTGCCAGGGGCCTTCCGGCATTTGTTCTTTTCATGGCGGAGAAGAGGCATGGGCCTGGGTAATGTAGGAACAAGACCCGACTCAGGGATTCCACTGTCATTAGCAATGAAACACGGCATGGAGGAGAACAAATCCCGGTTTGGTTTAAATTGAAAAGCCCCGCCATTCCTCATTAGAGACCCGGTAGCCCTGGATACATTCCCTGATAACACTAATGTCGGATGAGGCAGATTCTTAATGTTGTGATCTTCGGCTCGCAGTGGGGTTAGTCTGGGTGGAGGCAGGGGAGGGCGGGGCTTCTTCAGTACAGTCAGGACCGCCAGAGGGTTGACCGGGCCGAAGAACACGGGTGGTCTGAAGATGCAGTCATCGGGGAAGATCTTCATTTTCTCCAGGCTGGAGGCGGTGGTGGTGGTGGTGGAGCTGGAGCTGGAGTTTAGCGTGTCTGTCTTGGAGCTGTCTGTCAGTCCGTCTTCCTCCAGCTGCAGGTCCCCAGTCAGGGTGTCAATCTCATGAACAACCTGGAGACAAGAAGGAGAAGTGTCACTGAGACAGCTGATGTCTTTATCCCGTCAGGTTCTTAATTAGTGATGACAAACACTATTGTTTGAAATGTAAATAAAGACATTTTTGGTTTTAAAGATATTGATGAATGGGATTTAAGATCTCTATGACGGCTGCTCTAAACAAAAAATGAATGCCACTGCAATTTATGTGAAGAGCCCTGAGCTTGCCAGACGTAAGTGATAAACAACAACAATCCAGTGCACCAACTGAGAGAAGTCACAATACTAACCATATCCTGTAAACACAAAACAATCTTTATAACACTAAACTAATATGAGGAATCGATGTAAAAAACATTCTTATGTATCAAAAGATGGCAAAGACAAAACAGGTATGGGACAAAAGAGACAGATGAGAAAAATAAATAAACTGTCAGTTTTCTCCTGGGAAAATAAAACAGCAGTAAGGCCTGTAATATTCTGCTGCAAGTGAACGAGTCAGATTGATAAGAATCTTGCAAAAGAACGATTGAAAAGATCACGTACAATTCAACCAGAAACAGCATAAATAGATATCACACTTAATCAAATGATCTGAGAGAAGAAGATGCATTTCTACTCACAAAAGTTTCACATGTCTTAACAACAGCACAAATAACAATTCATCATGTTGTGAATTCACTCCGGGAAAGCAACCTTGGTATGTCAAAAAGTAGAAGAAAAAAAATGAATACTTTAAAAAAGAGACATGCAAAATCACCAGAAGGCTTAACTGCAAGCAACACAATATGAAAGAGCAAACACTCTGAATCAGTTGTGACGCAAAAACATACACAGTGTGCCAAGGGGGGGAAACGACACATGAGAAATGCACTGTGGTATAGTCCAGTTAATATATTCTGAGAAATGAAGGGGGGCACAGGAGAACCACATACTTTTCAAAGAATTTGCAGGCCTAACTGTACACTGCAGACCATGATTGTAAAGAATGGGCAATAAATACAATTGGAATAAAGAGAAAATGGTAGAAATGCTCTGCTCAGAGCAGCAGAACCGAGTTTGAGATTCTGTTTCAGGACAGAAGGTATTCAGATACAAAGGTGTTTCCTTTGTTCTGAGGAAATGTGTTTTCACGGCCTGCTTTGGGACATATTAAAAAACAGCTGGAGCAGAAATGTGGTTTGTTGGCACCCTAAATTCAACAAGCAATACTGGAGTTATAGTTGTAAGGATGCAGAAGCACACATTGTGATTGTTCTGTACAAACATACAAAGATTATAGCTGTATAAAACATGCTGCATAACTCATTCAGGGCATGATGCTGAACTGAACTTGATGCAATATCCACCAATCAAATGCATAATAAAAACTGATTACACGACTGAAGAGTGACATAGTGTTGTTCTTAGAAATAAAATACTTCTGGTTATTATATTGATGTCTAGTCCCATAAGCTGATCCCGTTCTGTCTACTTAAAGAAAGCCCTTGCACTGTTTTGCACATCCATGGACACAGTACATCTCCCATACAAATTTCATGCTGTGACAATACCTGAAAGGAATACAATTGCAGTTATTTATATAAAACGTGCCAAAAGTGACATTATTAGATGATCACATGTAAAAAAGTGAATTAAACAAAAAGTATAGACATATGTTTAAAAATAAGAGGTATATCTAAAATCATTCCCCTTTGAGAAGATATGTTTCTGTTTCTCTTCCCTTGTGGGAGTTATTATTTCTTTGAAGTCCCAAGCTGAAATGTGGTTTCTTAGTCAACATAAAGTCTGAGCAAACCTAAGATAATGATATCATAGTTTAAATACAGTTAGAATTACCCATGAGAAAGAAATCCAGAAAGGAAGGTTACTTGTTTCTCCTTTACAACATTTCAAAGATAATTGTTACAATGACAACGTGTTTATGCTAATTTTCTGAATTAGTAATGCTCATCTTAGAGTACGCCAGTGCTCATCTAAGGGTTTGAAGTGCATTTCCAAACACTAGCTTCAGAGGAGGCTACGAGAGAATGAGGACTAGAAAGAGAGAGTGAGAAAGAGTTACTGAGAGGGAGAGACGGAGAGGAAGATAGAAGGCTATGGCAGAGAGGCCAATGGAGCTAAACTCTCCATGCAGTCTTTTCAAGGATAATTTGTTGGGAGACACACTGTAAGGTAATACCATGTGTCCCAGTGCGCAGCTCCTGCTGTAGGCCAGGCAGCTCTGTGGTTGTGCCAAGCATCTGGGCAGGGTCCCTCCTCAGAGCCAGGCTCGGCTCCAGCCCTGTCTGTGAGTTACAACAGATAACTGCATTTCAAATGGATTATACCCTAAATACTGGCTTTGATAGTAACACCCCTCGAGGTATGTGTTTAGTGTGCACAGTGTCAGAATAACTGATCCCTTACATAATTTCCTGCAAAAACAAATACAAAAGAAATACATAAAAAAGAAGAGGGCATAACACACACACAGAAACACAATAGACAGATTACAATGGCTTCTTGTTCTAATTTTTCCTCTGGTGTCTGCTGTAAGACACTGTTAACCGCTGGAAAACACAAAAGAAGCGTAATTCAGCTGAGTATGGGGAGCAGCAGAGAGGCAGAAGGAGAAAGATGCTGTGTCGACGGCCCATCCATAATGTAGGAACCCGAGGCTGTACGCAATATGGTTTTATTAGAACGACAGCCTGTCATGTTAGGGCAAGAGGTTGAGCAAAGCAGTCCAGAAGCCTGGTGTGTGGCCGGTGGAGGAATGTAAACACGATAGCAGGTAAGGCTGTGGGTTATTTCTACTGAGATGGCAGGATGGCATGCAGAGATTGGCAGCTGATGAAACACTGATTTGAAGCAAGCACTTTAAGAATTTGCTGTAAATAAAAACGTCAATATACTTTCTGGTTCCTTCAGAGAACTCTAACCCTAACCTTCTTCATCACTTCATTTGAGCATCCAATCAGACTGCTCACAGAGCTTTGATCTTCAACAATTATGTAGAGAGAAGGACAGAGAGAGAGAGAAGGCAACACAAGATAATGAAAGGATGAAGATGAGTGGCTGCGATAAACACAGACATGGGATGAAAGATAACAAAAGAAAAAAAGAGATTAAGGTAAAGAAATAGAGAGCCACTTCGAGAGATTGAGAGTGATGACAAAAGATAAGGTCTGGGAGGAGATTGTTCGCAGCAAACAACACTCAGCATTAAGATGATGAAATGCACTGAAAAACGCCTTCCGGGTTGAACCAACTTGTCCATTAAATATGAACAGTGATTCAAATGTTCTCACTGTCATGGCAGCATGTGAGTCAGGGCAAAGACGCTGCCTTGTCCTGTGATATCAAACCCCACATTCTCCTGTGTCAAATGTGTCTCCTTTCGGAGATGATGATCACATGCATACAGGGAGTGTTTGTACGTGTGTGTGTGTGTGTGTGTGTGTGTGTGTGTGTGTGTGTGTGTGTGTGTGTGTGTGTGTGTGTGTGTGTGTGTGTGGCCTTTCCCAGGCCCCAGTGAGGTCCAACTCCCATGTCCTCTCAGGTAAGGATCCTTAAAAAGAGCATCCCTAAACGTAGCCTGTAGATAACACAACACATGGTGGGCTGCTTATGGGTAAAGCTAGGCCTATGGTATTTCCTGGTCATTTACCTCTTGGAGCTCTTTGGCTACATCCTTGAGGTCTCCCAGGATGTTTTCCAAATTCTCCACGATTGTCTTGATCTCCTTTTTTACTTTAACTTTGGAGACCACTACTCCTTCAGCCCCTGCATGAGGCGGCCCGGACATTCTTCAGCTTATGACACAGTCTATTTCGTGAAGGATCCAAAGTCAAATCCTTGGGTCGCCACGCTACCACTTTGCCAACGCATTTTTTATTTAGTCCTCGGCTGCCTTCACTTTTGCTCCTACATCACGGCCAGGACGGAGCCAAGTGGCAACGGGCAGCGGTCTGAATCTTCCACTAGGCATGCGCAATAGTGCGTAACACAAAAAATAACGCTTATGTCAAAATATTGTACCATACTGTCTGCGAAAAGGCGCCTGTCCACAGGTCTCTGCACCTCACTGTCTCATGTCCGACGACCAACAACGACACGTCCTTCACGTCCAAAGAGCGCTAAATTCAACAGTTTTGAGAAAACGTGCAGCCCAAAAGGGTTTAAAAAACAAAGAGAAGGACACGAAGAAAGAGTGTAGGATACACAGGCATCTATCCAAAGCCTTACACCGCCGCTCTTGTTTGTAACAGTCCATATCCTCAGGCAGCGACAACATGGTAAATGTAATCCTTTTTCACAAATATAGGCAACACTTCTTTAATAATGAGCCATCGCAGAAAGCCGCCAGGTATCGACACCCCAGAGGCACTTTCCTCCGAAATATACTTGGTCAGTATCATCCTGTCTCAGCAGCATCCTCCTCGGAGCGTCTGCGAAACCGACGTACGGGCGCAGAGCACACGATGCTCTCTCTCTCTCTCTCTCTCTCTCTCTCTCTCTCTCTCTCTCTCTCTCTCTCTCTCTCTCTCTCTCTCTCTCTCTCTCTCTCTCTATCTTAAACGGTTTGTATTTCACATTACTACATAAGTTAAAATATAGACTACTAATCATTCCAAAGGATATTCATGATCCACTGATGTTAGATTTTTATATTAAAAGTGAAGTTTGACCAAAGGGGTGTTAGTGTAAATAAGTATCATAAAACGATCTTTAGAAGCCTTTGCAAACAAAAGGGATGAAGAATATTTCAAAAATTTCAAAAAGTAAAACTAAATCCAGAAAAAAATAAGGACATCTAAGTCGTACAATTGGCACATGTGTATGTGCATCATTATTGAGATAATAACACAATATATTTACATTTAAATCATGGTGGATGGATCTTAGATACATCTCAGATAATTAAGTAATTGATTATAACTGGACAGGAAATCATAAGATGGAATAATAATACATTTCAAATATATGGGTTCACTTTACTGTAGCATAATAAAGCAAGTGTAATAGTACAAATAAATGTTAAAGCTAAAGAAATATCTAGATGTCTAATATAAGTATGAGGAGAGAGTAGAATATTTCAGCAATGGAGGAAAAAAGATAATAGAATCCTGGTTTTCTGATTGGCCACTGCTGAGACCACCCCCTCGTCAATGCGGAAGTAGAAGTTGTCGAAGTTCACTGTACTGTCAGTGAAGTGTTGCTCCTTTAGGATCTGTTCTCCTATTAGTTTCTGAAACAAAGGATACAAACTCACAGGGATGTCTTTGACTTTCGAGGGAAGAGTTGTGCTCGTCACCGGGGCCGGAGGAGGTAAGGTCGTCTTTCAAAGATATCTGAATGTTATCCAGGCTGCTTTCTATAACAAGGCGTTTATGTTTTCTAACCTTAGCTCCTGCTGCTAACCTGCTAGTTGCAGAGATTTAGTAACAGTGTGAGCGTTATTAAGACAGCTAAGTGTTGCACACGAGTCTTCCTTTTCTCCCTCTGTTGTTTTAGCTGCCCAGCAGTTAAACTCGGTATCTTGCTAATTGCTAACACTGGCTAAACAGTCGCAAGCTGTGTGTCCACCTGTATCACATTGGTTTGTGTTCATAAACAACAAATAGTTTAATATTGAGTAGCAACGTACTCGTCAGCCTTTTCATTTGAGCAGCACAGGGTCTAAAGTACATGTAACGCAATGGCTTGTAATGCTCCAAGGAAAGTGGGTAAAGGGTTACACAACCGACACTGCAGAGGAGAGTTTCCAAAACAACCCTTTAGCTATCGTGCATATACCAATAAAGCATTTCAGTCCTTTAAGCAGTGTGCTTTAAAACCACATATATTTAATTGTTTAGCTATCTACTACTAACCATTTATGAAATGGAAATTGTTGTTAATTTTGAATGATTATGTTCCTGCTGTATACTGTACTATTCAAATGTGTCATATATCATTAATTGTCTGCACTTATTAAATAGTTTGTTCTTGTATCTTAGATCTGTTATTGCTGTTGCACTAATTTGTTATACTTTACTGTACAATAATGTTTTTACATTTAAAAATGTATGTAAGGAATTGTATATATTCCTGTTTCTTCTGTAGTCATCACTGACTGTCAAATTACATTATTAAAACAGTTATATGGCATTCATTAATCTGAGCCTGGCTATAAAACATTCATGGCTGATGAGTAGGGCTGCGATTATGGCAAAAATCATAATCTCGATTATTTGGGTCAATAATTGATATCACGATTATTAAAAACGTTTATCCATTTACTTTGAAAACATCCATTTATTGAAAAAAAATAAATGTGAACAGTATGTTTTTAACAGTTGATCACTCACACAAAAAAAACAAACAAATCGTTTTATTTCGATTTTGTTGTTTTCATAATCGTTGCAAGCTAAAATCGTAATTGCGATTAAAATACGATTAATTGAGCAGCCTTACTGATGAGGGTGTTTTATTCGGTTAAAGCACAATCTGGGATTTTACATCTTTGTCTTTCTTTCCACAGGTCTCGGCAGAGAATATGCACTGGCTTTTGCTGAAAGAGGCGCCTCAGTTATAGGTAAATAAGATATATTGGCCCCTTTACCTACATTTTTTGAACATTTATTGTGGATATTACTGTTGTTTGTGTAGCCAGGCTTTAACCACTAGTACTTGGTGAACTAAGTGCACCCTCAACCTTTTTATGTTGTCTTTGCCATGGAGAGCTTGTGCTTGTTGATATTTCACCCAGCATGGTTCCAGAGGATTTCTTTCAGTTTTCTTTCCTGATACTGGTTATCTTTTCAATGATTAATTAACCCGATACACAGGACTCTGATTAGATTCAGATACTGATGTTAAGAGGGTTGGATATCAGCGTTATATTGTCTCTGCTACCAGTTCGATTTAGCTCACACAGCAACCCCTGTCTCATGGTCAGAATGATACTTAAGAAATGTACCCCTACGATTATATTGAATTGTGAGTAATTAAAAAAAANTTGTGATTGCACACCGTTGATATAATACATCTCTACAAGGAAGGGCATTATTAGTTTTGTGTGTTATTTTGTCCGGATAAATACGGAACATAAACAAGCGCACACAAAACTAATAATGCCCTTCCTTGTAGAGATGTATTATATCAACGGTGTGCAATCACAAACCCCAAGTACAAATATGCATATATTTAAGCGCACACACTCCTAGTTGTCTATTAATTAACCAGTAATGGAAAACTGCAAAATAAAATAAAAAGGTATTCACATTAGGGCTGCACGATTTGGGGAAATAATCTAATTGCGATTTTTCTGACAGATATTGCGATTGCGATTCCCGATATTTGTTTTTAAGCGACCCAACGGAAGTTTATTGTAAAATGCGGCCATATCTCCGGCTAGGAAGGTCGCATCAACGTGCTCCCGTCTCTAGCACCCCCGCAGCCCGAGCTACGAGTGAAAGAACTAAAGTTTAAGATTCACCCTGTAATAGATGTAAAACATGTGATGGAGCATTAGTAACCTGACTCAGATGTTGTTTTCACCAAACCATCTAGGAAAGCTCCATTGGAAGCCATTTGGAAAGGGCAGGCACTTTCAAAAATACTTGGCAGGTGATTGGATCAATCTGTCTATCACCTTCTATCATGGGCCACTTCTGGTTGGTTAACAATGGCTGGTACATGTGGGGCACAGCACTTCTGATTGGTGTGGATGACTGACACACAAGAAGTAAAAAAAATTAAATTATTATTTTTTTAATAATAAAAAACAAAGTTCTAAAAAGAATCGCAGGCTTTTCGATATGATAATTGCATCATTTAAAATCGCGATTTCGATTTAAAATCGTTTAATCGTTCTGCCCTAATACACATACACACACACACACACACACACACACACACACACACAACACATTGATTATCTCACAGAAATACTATCGTGCTTCTTCACAATGAATCAGAAATGAGTACTGATGACTCATTAACAAAGTGCCGATGGATTTCAGCCAGAGATTTCTGTCGTGCTCTCCCCGGCTGGAACATTTGAGCATTGAATACTTGAATTGGCTGAATTGTATTGATTTGTCAGCACCAAGTTATGAATGATGGATTGTTGTTTCCAGCTTTTCAGAAACGGAGGCTGTGTATGGGTTCCAGTGAGAAGTTGAGGTCAGCTGTCGGTGGCTTTGTAGCCGAGAAACACTCAAACTGTTTAGCTTTTCAGTGAATGAGTATTTCATGTTCTGTAATAACCACAGTCACTCTCTGTTTATTTAGCCAGCGCTTAAAGTATCCCGTTATTATATTTTAACAGTGTGCATAGTATATGGTAAAATGCCTTGTGTGCATCGCAATATTCAGATTACGTAAATGCATAGCAGAAGTCCTAATAGATGAACTGATTGATTTCAGAAATCAGAATTTGTGAAATGTTTTGAATCAGCATTTGCTATTTTAACTTAAGGAATGGTATATTAAGATTCAGTTTCACCTGTTCACCCTATAATGACTATGGAATGCCAACAAAAAAAAAAGAAATATATATTATTTATAGAGCTGAAACAACAACTCAACATTAAATGTGTTGTTGTTTTCCATTTGGATGATTTACTCATAGTTTCTCCTTTTATATCATTTTCTTAATGGCATATCTCTGGGGTTTGGGCTATTGGTCCAACAAAACAACACATTATAAAGATCTTTTTTCTGGAGAACAATCAGTAATGAAAGTCAGCTGCAGGCTGCAGCCCTCAGATAGTAGCAGTGCCGTCTACAGACAATGACTAGCCCCCCCCCCTCCTCACACATCACATCTATCCAGGCAGCCAAAGGCAAACTTGACTTCTCTTTTTATTTGCTTGCCTGTCATTATGTCTGTGGGAACCCTATATTTGAGTATTTTCTTGACATGCCAAGGTCTGTCTGCCAGCTAATGATAGACTGAGCAGAGATGTTTTGTATTAGTCATTGGTGGGATGCCGGACAGCTGGAAGGATGCTTGTTGGTGTGGAGTTCAGACTGGAGACATAATCATCATATTGACTGTTTTCTTTAAGGGATTTGTTTTCATGTAAAAGTGTTTTTGATTCTCCAGAATACAGTTGGTTTCCTACATTCAAACCTTTTTAGCGTGATTTCCTGTGTTATCACATATCCAGCCTTTTAGTTGTGTTCCTTTCCCAACCTGCCTCCCTCTCTCCGTTCCCAGACGACAGGAAATGACCAGAAAGCGGCCAGGTCTCCAGAATAGCACATTGTGTTGGAGCCTGTATTGTTGTGGGAAAGTAGAGCTAGAGAATACTCCAACCAAAACAAAAACCTATACACCCATTAGTATATCACAGTATGCAATACTATATCACAGTATGCAATACTGTGATATATAAAAAAAGGATTCATTAGTACACAGAAAAGAAAAAAGTTTCAAGATG